TAATATTATATTCAAATGCGGTCCAGTGTTTTACTATGTTCTGGATTTGCCTCACGTTGACTTATTTTTTATTGGTCACGGGGTTAGTTTGACTTTTTGACGTGTTTTTGGGTTCAGTTTCTTGCTGAACAATCAAGCAAACCATCAACTAACAACCACACGTGTTTTTTTCAATGCTACAAACGATTATATATATTTTTCTATGTATTATTTCGGGATAAGTACAAAACTGTATTATCTAAATAAAATAATCATGACCAATTATATTGCTAATTCGTATTTATTTGATTATTTCCCGCATTTCTTACGTGCCATGCAATATAAAAGTGTACGCGTTGAACTCAATAATAATAGCAGAAATAGACCTTGAAAATTTTAAAAGGAAATAGACTTTCTAAGATCGTTGGACTTTTTAATTCTCCACGTATTGTATGGCTTGACCTATTGTACAAAACCCAATTGTTTTGTAGTACTACAAAATTCAATTCAATGGTTGTAATTTGAAAAGGGAAGATCCGATGGTCTATATCATAAAGAGCAAAGAGGGAAACTAGATGGCAAAGAGATGTTGGCCGGATTTTGCTGCTTGAATTTTGTGCTGACTCGTGCATAATTTCGAGGCTGCGGTTAAGATTTTTTTAAATTTTTAACGAAAATTCAACGGACCATATCACATTTGTTTATGTTGGATTTCAAAAAAATTGCGTAAAAATATCATATTATATCAAGTTCGTGTTATTCATATAAAGATCGTATCAATTCTATATCATTCATATCATATAAGTCCATATCAATATTATATCATTTCATATAAGTTCTATGTCATCATATCAAGATCATATTAGTTCATATCAAATTCATGTCATTCATATCAAGATTGTATCAGCTTTATACCATCCATATCAAGATCATATCAGTTCATATTATTTTTCATATCAATTCGTATGAGTTAATAACAGATCATTTCCACATCATATAAGTTCATATAAAGTTTATGTCATTCATATCAAGATCGTATAAGTTCTATATTATTCATATCAAAATTGTCTGCCTATTTGGTTCTGGTATCCGTTACTTTTGGACCGACCAACCTATATGGTAGGGTTTCTTGAACATTGACAACACGAGATTGTTAATAGATCATTCGGATATATAATTTTGAATATGTAGTATTTGTGATGTTAAAATAGTAGAGTGACTTATTTGATAAAATAAAAAAAATACATATTATGGAGACATATTAGTCGTGTAACCCTTAATTGTTTGATACAATAATTCCCAAATTGCTTGGACACATTCTTATCTACACAATAAATAAAAGCCAAATGAGAAAATTTGATCCCCCATTTCAAATTTCCTGCATCCAGAGTGAAAGTAGGAGGGGTAGATTTGTCTTCACAGTCATTTATTATTTTCTTATTTACAGAAAAAATACATTAGTAATGAGATTTGAACTGTGGTCTCTTCGAACAAAGATAAGAAACATAACTAGTTACAATAAACACATTCGTGTAATTTTTTTTAATTAAAAACATACAGGAAGCTTCAATATGAAAAATCATAGGACTTTCCACCACGGTTAGCAAGCGAAATGTCATTGATTCAAATATTGCATCTCGAATTTCACTCTTGAATGAGTAGAAGCGATGTAGATTCTTAACATAAACTTAATTGTTATAACTACCATAAAGTAACGATATTTTTAAACATAGAACTTTTAAGTGAATATGAGCACATGTGTCATAAAGAGAGCGGTAAATATGGAAAGGTTGAGTGATGTTGGTTTGTCGAAAGCGGATGGAAAGTCACTACAAATGTAAATGTGCCCAAATAGTGCCTCGACCACTAAATGCTCAACCATCACCGTCTCTCCAAACTACCCATCAGACTCAACAACCGGCAAACCTCATCTACCTCTATAGTTACGCCAGAGAAATTTTTGGAGGGGTAAATATGGACATATTGAGTTTTCTCAATGCGGATGGAAAAGGTGCTACTAATGTAAACGGGCTCAGATAGTGTCCGACCCACTAAACGCTCAACTACCTGGGTTACTTTCGCTACACCTAATATAATAGTGAAATGAGAAAGATGCTTCCTCCATTACAAAATCCTTGCATCCATAGCAAAAATAGGAAGGGTAGATTCGTCTTCACAGTCATTTATTATTTTCTTATTTACATGAAAAATACATTAGTGATGGGATTTGAATTGTGATCTCTTTGAGAAAATAAAAGAAACATAACCAGTTACACTAAACAAATTTGTTTAAACTTTTTAAATTTAAAATATACAGGAAGTTTAAATTTGAAAAATCATAGGAATTTTCCATCACAGTTAGCCAAGCTAGTAACTCTCCCCTAAATATTTTTCAGTATCTGATACTTTGGTTGGCAACGGGGCGAGTCGGGGGTGGTTTCCCTGCATCCGTACCCCGCCCGTTAGTCCTCCACGGGTTAAAGATCCCACCCGCACTCCTAGCTGTCGGGGAGGAAAAAAGCACCGCCACCCGCCCGTCCACGGGTTCCGGGTTTACCCGAAATAAATTATACCCGGTCAGCAGCCATAGTTTGACTTTACATCAATAACAAAATGAAAGTTGCAGCAGTGGTTTTAAACTGCAGGAACAGAACATAGACTATAATTTAATAGAGAAAAACAACTCTACCTGAAATAAATAAAAACCAACTTTCAATAGCATAGCAAATCCAAATATCACAATCCGCAGACTAAGATGCTAAACTCCAGCAACTCAAAAGCAAAGTAAAAGCAATTCCAATACAAATCCCAATCACAACTAAGCTGGACACTTGTCCAATCCCAATCAAATCTAAGTTGAAAACAAAAGAAAGCAAAAAAGCGCCAACAACATCATCCTTCAGTGACAAAAGTCTTCTGCAGCAACCGCAGCAAGGAAGCTCAAGTCTTCAGCAGCAACAGCAAGTCGCCTCCAGCTTCAGCAGCAACAGAACGCCAGCACCAATTCACTCCTCAGCAGCAGAAAACGGCAACAAGCAAGGGAGTAACAGTCTGCAACCTTCCTCTCAACTCAGCAACAAAAGAAAGACACCCAGCAGCAGCAAAATCAACTCAACATCAACACACAATGACCCAGACAACATTAGACCTACAAAGAGTCATTATCTCAACAAAATAAATTCTTCTCACACCAACAAAATGAATTTCGCAGCAGCAAAAATGAATTCCATAGTTCTTATGTTTTAGTTGTTAAAACACCATAAACTCAGTAACTCAATGTCATTCTTATCAACAACTCACCACTAAAGCTCAACATCCTGCTCCTAGAAGTTAGTCCACATCCTCTAGGTTGTATTCTTGTTCCTTGAAACATTGTCTACGTTATAAACGCACAAGTGATATAATTGTTAATAGCACTAATATAAGAAAATGAAGGAAGTATAATTGCAAAAACCTTCCAGAATTGCACATTCACTTAGTGCATCAACTTGAACCATGCGAGTTTCACCCAATGAAGAGAAGAAGCCCTCTAGATTCCCTACATCATCATTACGGCTCTCCTCTACTTGAAAAAAAAACAGCATGCAACAAAGAATTAAATCAGTAGCAACAGAAAGTTGAGATAATGACTAATGAATGCACTAAAACAAACTAAAGGCAGCAATTACCATTATCTTGCAGCCAAGTCCTCGTGCGCATTAGAGCTTAAACCGTTGATTGATGCTGCCTGCTCCTATGAGGATCTAATAATCGACCTCCAGAGCTAAAGGCCGACTCCGATGCAACAGAAGTGACAGGAATAGCAAGAATGTCTCTTGCAATCTCTTGCAAGATCGGGTATTTAGGAACATTAATCTTCCACCACATAAGTATATCAAAATAATACGTACGAGGAAGGATCTCTTCATTCAAATACGCATCTAACTCCGCTGTAACAGATGAAGTCCTAGACTTCTTCCTTCGACTAACAAACAAGTCAAAACCCTGATCTGTAGTAGCGGACATTGCAGGAAGATCATTCCCAACGACAGCAAGATTGTTACCATTCACCCTTGATTGGTATTCAACCACCAAATCTCCTAAAATTCCTCTACTTTCAGTAGCACTCAATTATGAACTACCATCTAGACCCAATTTTTCAGCATAATACTCGACAATGTCAAGTTTATACCGTGGGCCTAAAACAACAGCAACAACCAAAATCTGTTGGATCACTTCCCAATATTTGTTAAACTTTGCCCACATCGATTCAACCACATGTTGAATAACCTCATTCGGATCAAACATCCATTCACATATTTTAATCCTTAAATCAAATATGCGAGGAAAAAACAAGTTGGCAGTAGGATATTTGGACCCCGAAAATAGGTCAGAAACCAGAGTAAAACAATGAAGCTTCTCACATATAATCGAAGCAAACAACTAATCATCACTGGAAGGCAAACAATCATATAGAAGATCAAATTGTTTCAGCCTATTAAACACTTCTTTGTAAGAAATAGCAATGGAGAGCATTAGAAATGTTGAATTCCACCTTGTAGGGAAGTCCAAAACCAGTCTCTTCTCACATGGAACACACAATTGTTTACTAGTCTCTAGGAAAAAATCCAATCTCTTTGGTGTGGCTAACCAATAAGACACTATTCCTGATTCTTTCAATACCATCCTTCACAACATTTAACCCATCTTTGACTATCAAATTCAATATATGAGCCGAACACCGCATATGAAGAAGTGCACCTTCCCTCAACAGATAAGATAAGACCAGTTTTTTCTTAATTTTGGAAATCATTGCATTGTTTGTGCTACAATTATCCAATGTGATAGTGGATACCTTTGTGTCGATATTCCAATCGAGTATACAATTGACCAAGACAGATGCAAGTCTCTCACTAAAATGAGGAGCAGGAACATAGATGAACCAGTAAAAAAAAAAAAACAAACAAACACAAGAACAAAGGATCACATGTCTATCAATTGCAAAGGCAAAGTTAAAAATATATAAATCTAAATGAACTAGTTTACCAGAGCATATGACTCCTTAAAATCCAGGATTTGTCAATATAGTGCGCCATTGCAGCCATGTAACCTTTCTTTTGGTTACTTGCAGTCCATAGATCGGTTGTAATAGCAATTCTTCCTTTGCTCTCATCAATTACCTTCTGAATTTTCTTCCTCTCATTCTCATAAACACAGAAGATCTCTTTTTTCATAGAGTTTCTACTAGGAACACTAAACATGGGTTGAAGCGAGCACACAAACCTCTTGAAATAGAGATGATCAACCATCGAGAGAGGGTATTCATGCATTAAGATAGCTACATCAAGTTCATTCTTATAAGTACTAGCATCAAAAGCAGAAGCAAGCAAATCCTTTCTTCCTTTAGCCATATAGTTAGGCCCCAAAATATTTTGACTGCCTTCATGAATCTTCCTATGGAGACAACTAGATGTATGATTTTTCAAATGAGAGGTGCCATTACTAGAATACCCTCCTAATAATTTTCCACAATTGTTGCACTTAGCCTTCCGCATATTATTGACCTTAATCTTTTTGAAATGTTTCCAAACCAGTCTCTTAAGCTTGGCCACATCAATTACCTCCTCATCAATAACAAGAGGGGCAGGAGGAGGTTGTGGAGCTGCTTCTCCATTTTGAGGTTGAACAGCAGCTGCAACCTCTCCAGCATGATTTCCATTCACAATTGCAGGTGCGATGGGTTGTTGGGGACCTTGGTTTTGCCGTGGTACATCAGACATTGTAGCTGCTTCTCACAGTGGCTCACTGCACACATGGCATAGGAAAAAAAAGCATAGAATAAAATAACTACCAGTACTAAATTGCAAATGAAAGAAAACCACATCAACTATATAATTACAGAACCACATAAACAAGGTTTGAAATTGGAAAATAAACCCACCTCGAGTCCTCTCTACTATTGCTGAATCGACTTCTCACAATTACAGAACCATGTCCACTATATAATTACAGCTACTTCTATCACCCAGTGCACACATGACACACAGACACAAAGCATGTATTAAGATAACTAGCATACTTCATTTTCAAATAAAAAAAACCCAATGTGGATGAACATGAACTTAATTACAAAACCAAATCCAAAAACATAATTAGAAAATGAGAAAAGAAACCCACCAGGCCACCACGAGTTCTCTCTGCTAATGTTGAATTTAGTCTTCTATCACCCATTGCACATACAACACACACAGAGCCTCGATTAATTACACAAACCCACCTCAAGGATATAATGTCAGAACATCAGAACATCAGAAAACTTATTTGCAAACAAGACAATGAAGTAAGAAACCCACCCGGCCAACTTGAGTCCTTGCTGGGTCTTTGAATTTGATTTGCCAATTGCCAATGCTGCTGTTTACCGTTGGGAAATTGGGAATTCGAGCCAGAGGATTGAAGCTTGAAGGGAGGCGATGATCGATGAGTGAAAATTTAAGTTGTGAGCAGGTATTTATACATGTTAGTGCTAGGATGGAAGGCATGCGTAGTGATTAGGGTTTAGAGAAATTGGGAAAGATTTTGGGTAGATAATGCAGGAAATCGAAAAATTCTTGGGGGACATATGAACTGATATTGGGATTAAGGCAATTGTGGGATTGATTTTTGCATTTCTAAGCCTTTGGATGATCACACGAAGGTGATAATTGGAAAGAAGCATCGTCGATATTGAAGACTCTTGGGGAGAATTGGGAAGTTGATAGACTAATTGGCTCTTAACATCACTGGAATCAAGATTCACGATTGATGATCTGAAATATGGAAAGGACTAAGGGATTTGGGGAGATCGGGGCGGGTACGGATCGGTGATCGGGGGTGGATAGTAAGGAATCCGTCACCACCCCGTCACCGTAGCTCACCAAAGTCGGGTTTCCCCATCCCCGACCCGCCATCCGGTCAAACGGATTCTGACCGGTTTGACCGGCTCGGTTTCGGGCGGGTACCGTAAATTCCGGTTAGGTTTCTCATCCCTATTTGATACTTCTATTTTCATACTTTGATTATTTTATTTCAAGTTTAATAATTAATTCTATTTCTATTTGTCTTATAAAAGGAGAATAATTTTAAAATCACAAGCCTTATGTCATTGGCGCAAATAATGCACATCGAATTGCAATATTGAATGTGTAGAAGAGATGCAGAATTATTAACATAGATAATATAACTACCATAAAGCAACAATAACTATCATAGAAGTTTGAGTGAATATGGGGCACATGTGTCTTTCAGAGAGGGGTAAATATGGAAAGATTGAGTGATGTTGGTTTGTCGAATGTGGATTGAAAATGCGCAACTAATGTAAATGGGTTTAAATGGTGTCCCGACCTACTAAACGCTCAACCATCGCCGTCTCTCCAAACCTTCCCGTTGAACTCGACAACCGCCTAACCTCCTCCACCTTTATTGTTACGCAAAGCAATTTTTGAAGGGGTAAAAATGGAAATGTTGAGTGTTATTGCTTGGAGAGCTGACTGGTGGGTTATGTAGTTTCTTTGATAGTAATGTGTGATATCTTAACATCAGCTCATTTGGTTGATCTTCTAGGTTGACTTTTGATTTGATTAAAGATAAACAGTGTCCCAAGCTCCCTGCCTACTGAACGCTCAACCATCGCCATCTCTCCAAAACTTCCCATCGGCCTCGACAGCCGCCTAACCTCCTCCACCTATATTGTTACGCGAAGCAATTTTCAGAGGGGTAAATATGGAAAGGTTGATTGTTCTTGCTTGGAGAGCTTATTGATGACTTATTTAGTTTCTTTGGCAGTAATGTGTGATCTCTTAACATCAGTTCATTTGGTTGATCTTCTAAGTTGACTTTTGAGTTGATTAAAGATAAATAGCTATACTTTTTTGTTGCTTTTGTTATGATACTCCTTTTCAGTATCATCATTTTCTGATTTGAAAAGTTTTTGTGGTTAGTTTTCAGTAAACAAAGACTATTCTAATTAGTGTTAACATAGGGAATAACTTCAATCATACCACTTTTACACAAAATTTATATGTAAGAGCTGAGATCATTGCCGAATTGAACTATTCAAGCTATAATGCTGATCTTCAACATATAAAACATGGGTTCTTTAGAGTGAAATAACCTCATGATTGCAGATAAGGTTTTACAATATGATGGTTCGTGATAGTGGTCACTTGCTTCCAGATTTAAAAGTGGGGTTCTAATTACTACAATATAAAAGCACGAGTAATAGTGATAGTTGGAGCAGATACAAGATGGTTTGATATCCTTCTCTCTGCAATGAATAAATACATGGTGAGCATATGTTGTCATGGGAAGGAAAAACCGAACTCTTTGTGTTTGTAGTATAGCATGTTGATATATATGCATGTCTAGACCGATCGATTGGATATATCCACCTGTAATTTATTGACGAGATTTTTTCTCATCAAAACGCGTGCCAAGTAAGTTCCCTGCTTAATCCTTATATTTTTTTTAATCTGCACATGCACACCCTCATAGGAAACATGTACAAAATTGTAATTTATGTGCTTCATTAGTGTTGTTTCCATAAGATTGTATTATCAAAGGTGGTTGTTCTAGAATTGTGAATCGTGATTGTATCTCCTCTAAGAAATTGTCAAGTTAAGCTATAAAAGAGACTAAGTTGAGCTTCCTCTTTAATTAAGATGGTAAGAGAGCAATAACCCACGCCAAATTGATTGGGGGTTGATAATGCATGAGAAACGGTTTAGCCTTCTTCGGAGTATCACAAGATCCTGATAGTATCTCAACCAAAACAATTTTTGTTTCCATGCCTGATGTTGATACAAGTTGTTTACCTAGAGGAGAGCCCCAACAAGTTAGCTCTTGGAGTTGTGATGCGAAAATGGTTAAGGCATAAATGGTTTATACAAAAGGCCATACTATGATCATATATAATGCGTTGGTAGAGATATTCATCAATCTCATTTTATTGATGAAGTCACCGAGGAGAAGAGAGGAATTGTCATTGGTACTCTAAATTTTACAAGGCTATTATGACTGAAGTGATATTACCACAAGCCAGAAATTGCAGCAAGGAATAGTCGTTTGAATTAATGTGCATTGATGCAAAATCCCATGTAGCTGCCAAAAAGGAGTAATAGTAGACCAATCAGTGTATTTGATGTCGAGAAGGATGAGGATCGCGATAATGGGGATGATTCAAGACGATTGACATATACATATTGAAGTGATAGAAAGTACAGAGCTGTAAGTAATTTGTGTGTTTAGTGTAGCAAAGTGGTTAGGAGTGATTTGGTAGGATTTCACAGTGGTAGGGATATTGACAATAAGTATTATGTGTTGGTGCTTCCATGCATATATTGCTTGCCTGTTTATTTTGTCTGTATATGAGATTTCTACAGCAGATTGCATGCTTTAAATTTCTTTTTTTTTTCCTGTCATTTTAATTAACAAAACTATATATCAGAATAAACTGGCCAACACATTCCATCGACTTGATTTGGACATTGCTGTTTTTTGTTTTCTCAACCAAGGATTCATCGCCTTTAGTGTCACTGTGGTTTTTGGTCTAAGGGAAATCCAGATTGAGTTTTTCTTATTAAATTTCTTGGTGGCTTCCATTTTTACCATCGATAATTGGAGCCAGGTAAGCATTTCTTTGGTTTTTTCATGTTCACTTTAGGGCCATTATGGTGCATGACAATAGTGGCTTATATTTAAGGCCAATAGCTTGGTTTGATTGTCCATTATAGTGTTTATGTTTTACTGTTATCTTTTGTAATGCAATGAGATAATGATTTTCCACAATATTATTATATATGGTGTTGTGGACCTAACTTTGACCATCGCCGTATACATGTTAACATGTAATATCAGTTAGAAACTAAGAGTCAATTTCCATGACTACGTCCGGCCAACGACCGGATAATAAACTAGTATCGTATTACCGTGCAATGCAAATGCTGCACTGCATATTGAAAACTGGGCGGCTAAACGTCGCCTAACTTTACTATAATCGCCCTAATTTAAAATATAATATGACTAAATTATCCTTCTTTAATTAGTTCAATTCAAATTTATTAAAACAAAATATCCCCTAAAATTCCTAATTCCCTTCCCTCACCACCGCCCCCAGCCTCTATACTCGCCGGAGCCGACACTATCATCTCTGTGCATTGCTAGATGAGGACTCATCGTCCTTTTCCTATCCAGGCGCCGGTCCCAGCGAAGAAGACCAAAGTCTTCGACTTCGCCACAATCTGAACAGGCTCCCTTGATCCTCAAATCCGTCGTCGCCATCTGCAACCGCGACTCCTATTTCATCGCCTCCGTGAATTCATTGGTCGTCAACTTCCAGCTCCAAGCCACCGTCAGCGACCACATCAGCAACTTCCGTCGACAATCGTCGCCTCCAGCTACATCTCCACCTCTGGAAACACAAGTCACCGCCACCAGCTCTCTGTCTCCAATCCGCCGCCGTCTCAATCAATCAGCCACCGCCACCATCTCTGCCATCTGTGCCACTCGATTTGGCGTTGCCTTTTCTCTTTGAAGTCTCCCGCTCCCGCCAAAAATTGTTGATTCCAGCTCTTGGCCGCCCACCGTCGCCCCATTGTCGTTGAAATCAGAATTTCCGAATTTAGAAACGAATCAAAGTGAGACAGTCGGAAAAGAAAAGAATCATATTGGGCGATTAGACAATTAGGTTAGGGTTATTAAGGCCCAATTCACAATAAAAAGGGATAAAGGACAAAGAAGTAATTTA